GACAGAGATTTTTAAATATTCAGACTCTTGTTGTGCTTGACTGTGGATATCTGAACCACCACTTTTCTATCACCTAGTTAACTTGTTGAGACAACAGATAAAGAGTTTTGAATATTCTCCACTACTTGTCCTTCCTTTCAATACTATTTGTATCTTCTTGCCTAGACAGCATTGACAAAAGCTCTTCATTCTTGTGAAGTAGTCTCTCCACTTCCTTTTGTAGCTCTTCCTTCTTGTGAAACAGTCTCTCCACTTCTTGCCTAGACAGTGTTTGTGGAATGCTTAATTTTTTATGCAACAAAACATGAACACCATATATGAATAAACTATATATATATATATATATATATATATATATATATATATATCTGTGTAATGTATTGTTTATTGTACAAAAAATGTTTGAGACCAATACTAGCTTAATATATTTACATTTCTAGATCATAAATATAGCACAATATTTGTTCAAAATGAAACTGAATTCTTAAGCTTTGTTGTTAATTGTGTCAGTGAACCAATTCTTTCCATGTACGGTACTATCGTATCTCGCCATGAGATTCAAAGTGTCTTCGCTGATAACTGGGTGTCCGACGATGTGAGTTAAATTATCTTTGTACATTATTTATATATATGTGTACAAATATTAATTGAATTACTTTAGCATGTATGTAAAAAATCTGTAATTTTTTCAGGTAATAAATTGGGAATATGTTAAATAACAAGCAAGGATCGAAGGGGGACAGGTACTACTTTAGTAGTAGAGCCATGCAGTTAATCAGTGAATTCAAGGTAAAAGAATTAAAGAAAAAACCTGAATGCATCAGTTGCCTTAAAGAAGTGTGGGAAAAATTCAAGAAGAATGGTGAGTATTGTACTCTACTTGATGCGGACACAGCAAAACTGGTTAGTGTGTTTTTTTCTTTTCTTTACTCCATAATCTTGTAACCCTTACTTTTACTATTCATTAACTCTGTATAATTACCTTGCTGCAGTTATATTTCCCTGCATGCATACAAGGACATTGGTTTCTATTGGTTGTCAACCGTCCGAGGAAGAAGGTTGATTACCTTTGTTCATTAGGAAGGACCCATAAATATATGGATTATGTTAAAGTGTTGGTATGTTTATTTAGTTTGTCTTGATGTAATTGATTAGGAGTGAACATTTATCATTTACAAAATATTGGTATGTACAACAGAAAGAGTTTATTAGGATCGTGTGTGAGGAAGATTTCACATAATTTCTGCCCAACACACCAAGGGCAATACCCAGACAATCATATAGGTAAGAATAAGTTATTATGTATTGAATTAGAAAACTGCCCTATACATTTATATAGGTAATTACTTTCACTTAAAAACCGTTGCCATTGCAGTGAATCATGTGGAATATTTGTCATGAGGTTTATGGAGCTGTGGAATGGGAACTTTGAAACATGTAAGTAAAAAATACATTGAGAGATTATTCGTACAATATAATGCATGTAATTACATTAATTGTTAGATTTCACATTTACTTTATCATGAATTAACTAAAAGTGTTATACTTTTCATAATGTTGCAGACAGGTGCGAAGGCAATGTGTTCTGAAATACTGTTCCAGCTCTTGGACGATGATCGGAATGAAAAAAAAGTTGAGTTGTACACCCTGTCATGTATTCGTGGATCCTAAACGAACAATTAATTTGTATTAATTTCGTACAATTAATTTGTATTAATGTGGTAAAATTGATGGTTGACAATTTTTCTGAAATGTTGTAGGATTGTTATACAAATTTCATTTATTAGACATCAGAATGTTTGAGTACTATGTGTTACAACATATTTGTGTATAATATAACAGTTATCTTAACATACATCATAGCTTTTACGAGCAATGTAAAGCAAAGCAAGTTGAAGGGAGCGTAGAAGGAATCATTAAATACGCATCATAATTATTTACTAATATGACATATGAATTATTTGTTAACATGCATTACAACTTTTAATTGCGAAGTTGAAGGTAACTGTGAAATACGCATCATAATTTTTTATTAATATGTGTTACAATGTTATTCTATATGATATATGAATTCTTTCTTAACATGCATCACAACTTTAATTACGAAGTTGAAGGTAACTGTGAAATACCCATCACACTTTTTTACTAATATGTGTTACAATGTTATTTTATATTATATATGAATTCTTTCTTAACATGCATCACAACTTTTAATTATGAAGTTGAAGGTAACTGTGAAATACCCATCACATTTTTTTACTAATATATGTTACAATGTTATTCTATATTATATATGAATTATTTGTTAACGTGCATCACAATTTTTAATTACGAAGTTGGAGGTAACTAAGAAATACGTATTATAATTTTTGACTAATATGTGTTGCAATGTTATTCTATATTATATATGAATTCTTTGTTAACATGCATCACAACTTTGAATTACGAAGTTGAAGGTAACTATGAAATACGCATCATAATTTTTGACTAATATGTGTTACAATGTTATTTTATATTATATATGAATTCTTTGTTAACATGCATCACAACTTTTAATTACGAAGTTGAAGGTAACTTGTAAATACCCATCACACTTTTTTACTAATATGTATTACAAAAGAATTGGGATTAACATATGAATTACTTCTTCTTGACATTAATTTGAATAGTTCATTTACGCAACAACACCTGTATGAGTAGAATCACTACCAATCCAAAAAAAACAGGCCTATAAGGAAAAAAATAAACAAATCTTTTACGATTGACAAATGTAATTTTAGAAGATCGGCATCTGCAGTAGTTGTTGTTGCACAACCAAAATCATTTTCAACCGCCGTGGATGGTGGATCGATCCACATAAAAAAAGAACAACGCCTTTGTGCACAATTGAAGAATCGCCTCTTAGGATTCTTTTGGTCTTTGAAACATGCAAACGAGTCCTTTCTCCACATAAACAAATTGGATGGTCAACAGCACCTCTATGATGTACTCCAGTGCTGCTCGATGATGCCATTGAAGACGGTAAAAGTACGCAGTAAACAAAGTACTCCAGTGGTGCTCTGTTACTGGTTCTTTGTATATATATATATATATATATATATATATACATGTACCTGTGTGTGTGTCTGTATGTTTATAACGGCTCTCTAACGGTTCTTTTATAACGGTTCAAATTCAAGGGTCAGTCATCAGTTTCAAAGTGGTTTAAATAATTAGTTTTAATTACAATAAAATAATGTTTGTATTCAATGTAATATATGTTGTCAAAGTGGGTTTGTATTTCGGGAAATCAATGAACAGAAAGAAAAAAAAACAGAGGGCTTTAGTTAAAATGAAATTAAATGGGGCTGCCAGAACTACAAAATAGGTACAAAGGAGTTGGGAAGAAGAAAACGGTTGTTACATTCACATCAGCCCTTTTTCATATTTACGTACACTCACATTGTACTTCCTTCCCTTCATATTTACAACGAGGTGCTGCCGGACCCGTTGGGGGCTTAATCGCCATCATTTTCCAAAACGCTGAGATTTCATATTTCATATTTCATGCAGTACGCATGAAAGTAAGTACATTATAGGAACTACAAAAGGCTCGCAAAATACATGGATCTATATATCACATAACAACAGAGTTGAACTGTTGGCTCCCTTCTACACAACAGTTGGGTTCTGACCTTCATTTGGAGAAAAAAATGGGAGATGGAGGAAAGAGGTCATTGCTGAGGGCATTGTCGTGCTCGTTTTCCAAGTCTGCTAAGTGACGTTCCACCCAGCGCAGTTCTTTCTCCATCATCTGCATCTTCTTGATGACACGGGTCAGCTTACCCATGATGGTATTCGGAAAGTTAGGATGGTTCATATCCAACTCATCATCAGTCTCAGCCGTGGTTGTTTGAGGTGGGGGGACTGGTGGTGGAGGAGATGGGTTAGTTTTCCTGTCCATCTTTGTTTTGGTTGTTGTTTTACAAAGTGTGGAGAGTTAGGTTTTATAGTGTTGAAATCTAACTACCATATCTGACCATACATAAATGCATTGAGATATGCATCAGAGAGAGAAGCATCAGAGCGGTTTGTGTGGCAAAAGGAAAGATACAGTTGCATTCAATTAGTTGTTTGGCAAAACAGAGTGGAAATGATGTATTCAATGAAGTTGTTGGGTATAAATGAAAAGTTAATGGTGCCCAACTACTCATTACTATCCAGTTTACTGAATATATATTATTTAACCATAAAAGTCCAAGGCAGCTTCTTCCAACTCGAGAAATAGAAAGATAGCTTCATTGGGAAGTTGGTGAGTGTTCCTATGTTAAGTATAATATTTCTATCTTAACTGTGCATATATAAATTATACTTTTCAGTCTGAGCACTTAAGTGTTCAGTTTTGTGTACTTAATTTTCAAATTGCATTGGCGGCATGGTTTCCATTCTTGTTCACTATCGTCCGCGTATTGGTGAAATCAGAAATGTGGACCCCCAAAATTATGGTTACCAGAAATTTTTAGAAGATTTGTGTGGATTGCTATTCATTCGTGCAATTCCACATCCTTTTGCCATGAATGTATATGTTTCTATCCCTGACACACTCAATGGAATGGTGCTCAGCAACGATTCCAATATGGCAAGGATGTTTGAATTGAAATATTCCTGTAGAACGATGATTGTTTTTTTTGAAACACAGGAAATACGTTATCCATTAGCTACCTGCTTTTGATCCATCTACTACTGTAACTTGGAAGTTTAGTGGTGGATGGATGAAATAACTTTTATAACTGTGTTTTGTGGTTTTTCATGGTGTTCCTGTAATATTTTACTTATGTTATGTAGCTGTGACATATGTTTAAAATATATATAAAGTTGTGACATATGTTATGTTATGTACGTCTGACAAATTGTTGATATATGTGTTTAAAATATATACCTATATGATATACAATATACTTGTGGCACTTATTATTAGAATGTTATGACGTTACTTTCAGAATAACATCTCCATGCAAAAATTATATAACAATTACAAATATTATATTTTGATGCATCACTTCCATCATGCATTATTCTATAATTCATATACTTGAATACATGAAGAAAGTCAATTCTAATGTGGCTAAAGTCCATTGTGTGTTACGCATTCAAATTACAGAACTACCCAAATAATCCTTCTATGTGATGTGGCGAAAGACGACCTTGCAAAACCATGACATTTAAATCACACCAACAGCTATTACAATTGATGAGATCCTCGTTAAGGATCCAACAATGCTAATCAATATGCGTAAAGAATGACCGATTATAGGAAGAAGTCCTCTCAATAATTATTAACATCTTTCTACGGGCAGACTTGATACAAGTGCTGAGTATTGAATTTGTCCTCAACAACGTTAATAAATTAATCCCTGCCTCTTTGTTCGCTTCATTGGAAAACAATTATGCAATACACATAGGATAGAGGAACGCGTAACCATTTGTACGGAGGAAAGCCAACCCTATTTTTTCATTGTAAACAATCCAATCAACCTGTGCAAATATTTTTCCATGTTAGAGCATACAAATAAATAAAGTGTAATACGTAAAAGAGTACACATGATCTTAGTAAACATACCACTCCCTTAATAAACTTTGCAACATGATCCCGAGATTCAAAACATTGTTCCAGGTACATATGTCTTGCTAGGATACTTTCATCTAGCCCATTACGTGCAACTAATTCAATTGTTGCATTGTATTGGTGTAGACCCGTCGTCCATGGTCCAGTGCCCAGTTCTACCGTTTCCCTTCATTTTTAATACGTAGAACACCCATATGTCTCACTTTAGTAATGTAGACACATAAACTGAGAATGCATGTAAATTGTAAACTATAAACTGAAACGTAACTCACCATGTGTGCTTCTCCTGATTGTTCGTAAAACCTATGGCCTCAACTCGTCTAACCACATCTTCAATCGCAGTATGTAGAACAACATCCATGGTTTCCGAATACATGCAGTGACTGCATATGGTGTAGAGGATGGCGATATAAATAGAAGCATAAATTTACCTTTAAACGTTGCCTAGGGCAATTATAAAATTAAAACGTTTCAATATAACAACGGTTACAAGGGTAAGATAGAAGTTTCCATGTATCAATCATTAATACGCTTTTTTAAATTTCATTGATGTTGTAGAAGTGTACACGTGTACATTATAAAATAAAATTTATAATTGATGGTTTTCGATTACATGCAGCGACTATGTAATAACCCGAAAATTTTCCTTCCTTTCCTTTTTTCCTGAAATTTTACGAATGAATTTTTTTTTGTTTAATTTTCCTTTTCTGAGTTCAGTTTCTCATCGCCTAGTGTCATCTAGAGAGCTTAGAAATGATTTCTGAGACTCATTTCCATGGATTGACAACTTCCTTTAAGGACCGAGTCATTTCCAACTTTTCACTTTTCGGATACTATGCACTATTTCGTCCTTTTCCCTATTCTGTCTTTTTCCCGTTTGTCAGTTTTTGGCATAACCTCACTTTTCGTGCTTGGAGTTAATTTTTTACTTCACATATCTTGATCTTACGTGGTTTCTACGAAATACGTATCTTCACTTTTTCAAGAAAGTACTCTAATTGCTCCAAGTGTCCATAGGGGCATGGATGCACAATTCTTTGGAATTATTTTCTTTTCTTGAGGTACTTTTCGTAAATATCTTTTGAAGATATTTTATTTCAGGGGTATCGAAGATATTTTCTTTCAGAGGCAGTTTTGCAGTTAACCCTTTTTGTAGGGGTCATTGTGCAATTAACGAAAGTTATTACTAAATACCTCGTCTGGAGCCTGGATCCTCGTACGAGATTCATTTTCACATTTCATCGAGTCGTGTACTCATATAATTCCGTTCTGATCATTTTTCTCCAATTTCAGAGTTTCTAGACCCGATTAGTGCCGAACTTGTTCGGACCATATCTCTCTGCTCGGGACTCGATTTTTGACGCCGTTTCTTCCTTTGTTCATATTTTCTCATTTGGAATCTTTTTTGTTCACAGAGTTTTCCCGTTTGAGCGCGTCTGCTTAAAATCCACTTTTCCAGACCCGGCGGGGCCCTTTCGGGGCACTTTTTGAGATTTTCTATAAATAGGGTCACTTAAGAAAAAATATCAGATTTCTCTATCTTCTTCCCCTCTCTTGGCCGGAATCAATGCCAGCCATGGCTTCCACCTTCTCTTTCCTCCTTTGGTTCACTTTTCTCTAAGGAAAAGTCTCTGGCCTTAACATTTAATGTTTCTCTTGGCGATGCGCATCTTTTGCCCTTATTAGAATATATTTTCGACGATTTTTTGAGTTCGGGTTTGGAGTCAAGTTGAGATTTTCATAGGGCTTCTTGCGGATTCTTATTCCCGGTGTTGTCCCCGACAAAACCTCTCGGTATAGTCGAATTCGGAGCACTTTTATTTTGGTGGGCCTTTGAGATTTTCATCTCAAATTGAGGTAGGGGGTATTATAGGTTTAATTCTTATTATATAGCATGATATTGATGATTATACAACTTGATTGCATGCTTAAATATGAAATCTAGAGATTTTATTATTTATTTTTCTTGTACGGGATTTGATTTTCCCGGTTGCTCATGACTTGGTTTAAACATGTAGTATGATATTATATTGCCCCTTGATATGCTCATTGTCGTGTATTAAATTTGGAATATTTGAATAAGTATTAAAACTTTTATTTAATATTTATCTTAAGTGAAAGATTAATTCACATGACCTTAATTAGCTTGAAATCAATGTGTGTTAGCATATTAAATTAGGTCCTAGCATACTCTTCAACATAGATTAATTTGAGAGTAATCGGATGTGTTTTAAAATCTAGTATTCATTAATTAATTTGCTCCAGGTGTACTATTCACCCCATTGGAATTCCGACTTGACATTCTTGATATGTATGTTATATGGTTTCACATATATTAAATCTAGAATATTTGATTAGGTTTTGAAACCTTTCATTTATTTATTTTCTAGTATTAAAGTTTAATACTCGTGGTCTTCTCTTGCATGGAATTCACTTGTGTCGTGTTTTTAAATCAAGTCTTGGCATGTTGTATAACATATATAAATTTGAGATCATTTGGATGAATTTCAAAACTTAGAGATTTTAATTAAATGAAATAATTAAAATTCATTTAATAGCTCATTGGTCTTGATTAAGTTTCTAACTTAGGATTCATGTTTTTCGTGACAAATTCCTTTACGTGTATCAAATTAAGAATAACCAGATAAGTTTTGAGACTTATATTCATCTATTTCCTTTGTATGGGACTAAATTCACATGGTTGTGTTTTGAATGAAATGAACTTGTGACTCGATATTAGACTTGTTCTTCACATGATCCTTGACATGTCTTGTTTGTAGAACATTTGAACTTACCTTGTAATCTTGATAATTTAATCTCTTAAGTAGATTAAATTTCCTTTATATGTTTCCATCGAGTTAATCATGCCTTGATATGAATTCTTGTTAAACTAGTGAACTTGACTTGAATTTCATGAACTGTTATCTTTTATCAAGCATCGTGACCTCTTGTATCTAGGTTTCATTAATGTACTTAATGAACATGCACCTTTGTCTTGGAATGATTTAATTACTCATGTGTTGCTTAGTAATTACTTGAATCACGTATCTTATACTTGTGGTATATTTACTTCAATGAACTCCATGCGCTATATATCTTGGTTATAATCTATATAAATGCATACTATGATTTATTGACATTTCACATGCCATTATAGTTGATGAACTTAGGGCATGACTTATGTGTTCCAAAATCTTGGTTGTGCATAAAACGTGGTTAATGCATTTCTTGTATTTTGATACTATCTTGGTTTGCACAACTTGTTGATTTTGGGACTTGGAGATATCAATCAAGAATTGACATGGCTAGGACTTGGTTGTAGTACGGGGGAATGTCCTCCTACAATATAGTGCGCACTAGGGGAAAGGTACCCATGGGTTAGTAGCCCTAAAGTGATCTTAAGAATATGGTTTTAATTTGGGCGATATTCGAGTTTCCACATTGGTTGACTTCACATCTTGTCTTTGTCGTGTTATGTGAATTGCACCAATTTTGTTTAACTGCATAGATATTATGCCCCGTTCTTGATTTCATGTATTCTCCTGTTTGTGTTTTATGGAATATCCCATCCTTGTCCATTGCATAGATTTTATGCTTCATCCGTGATTTCATTTCTTAAATGTTAAGTGTTGCATACCTTGAAGATTTAAGAATCCTTTCATGTTTTATGAAATGCTCCAATCTTGTTTAACTGCATAGATATTATGCCATGTTCATGAATTCGTGTATGATCCCCATTGTGTTAATTGGTATGTTCCAACTATGCAAATTGCATTCATAATGTGATCCTTGTATTCTAATGTCATTTTGTCATGTTCTTTGGATTACTCCAACCTTGACTGGTTTCATATATGTATATATATCATGATTCTTGTTGCTTATGCTCTAGGTTAGCTTAGAATGCTCCATGAGTCTCACTATGACATAGTCGTTAAGCGGCATGAGCCCTTTAACATGTTTCACCTTAAGATGATATAAATTGTAAAATGCTTGGTCGATGCATGCTCATCTCCTACGAGTAGCTTTATGTTGCTCACCCCTACGTTACTGGGGCATATTTCAGGTACATAACTCAAGACTTGAAGATTTCATTGCTTGGGTGATTTGTGGCTTCACATGACAAAACTTGTATTCTTGATTCTATGCATGTAAAGTGTACATAAGTACACTCTTTTTAATGTATTTGACATGTATGACATGAGGCCAAGGGCCGCAAACCTTTAAGTTCATATGTAAGTAATTTAAACTTCAAGTTTTGCCATTAAAATGTATTTTATCATCTTTTGAGGTTTGACATGTCAAATTTTGTAAATGGGATGTAATGAAGCTATAGGCCATTGTAACAGGTTTAAATATCCATATTACACTTGCGTGCATATTCACATCATCACATACTTGCATATAATGCAAATTGAACATGCCACGAGGGATTCCATATAGACTTTCAGCTTTTTGTGCATAACTGGTTCATTTGCACTTCCTCAAGTCATTTCGGTCGACCGAAATGCTAGTTCGGTCGACCGAAGCCTTTTGGGTTTCATTTGAGCATCAAAACCATCATTTCCAATAGCCTTCTTCGCTGTTTGGACCTATTTCGGTCTACCGATGGCCTATTTCGGTCTACCGAAGCAACCTCACCTCAGAAACTTGTTTTCAGCATGAATTTAGTTCATTTCGGTCCTTTAATGGGTTATTTCGGTCGACTGAAATAGCCGATCCCGAGAGTTGCTTCAGTTTAGTTTCAGCACTGTTGTTTCGACTTCAAACGGCCATAACTTCTTAGTTTCTAATCCAAATGGGGTGATTCTTGAGCCTAAATTTATGAGCTTGAAGTCAGCTTTCCAATGACACCAACTATGCATTCAAACTCCAATTGTGGTGAGAGTTATTCATGTTTTAGTGAGAGGGTGTCAGTTTTTACTTCAACCGGGAAGGGGTATTTTGTGGGATTTTTGTCCAAAGTTCTTGGAACCTTTTGGAACGTTGTGAAATGATTGGATTAGGTTGTGTGAACCTCATTTGACTTGTTTAGAGTCAAATCTCCCTTTTTAATTATAAATTAACCACTTTGCCCTTGATTAAAGGGTTTTGCTCGCTTCTTTTCATCTTGTTGTTTCTCCTTCGTCTGGACTCCGAATCATGCGATTCTTGAGTCCATCTTGATTAGTTTTTCATTGCCTTTCTAGTGGTGTGCTCAGTGACACCTGAATTCATACTTTCATAAATGACTACCTTGCCCCTGGGGGCTTAAATTGTCATTCTTCCGGTCCTTTGCTTCCGCACCTTGTTTCCTTGAGTTCTGTGACCTCATGGAGGGTCATCCTAGGGTCTTAGAGGTGTTTTGTGCCTTGGAAGACCATCGTTTTATTTCTTGCTTCCGCATCTGGATTCGTTATCGGGTTAATCTTCAGTTCATCACTGTAATACCGGGTTGAATCAAAAACCCGGGTCGTTACAGACTAGGTAAAATTTGTTTTCACTTCCGTTACGAAAGAATTCCTACAGTACATAGAACTTAATTATGACAAAACATATGATATCGTTTTGATGTTATTCCCAGTAAATTAATTAGAAAATAATTATTACAATAAAGGTACAACTTCAGAAATAATATTTCTTACACCACTTACATTATTTCTTTCTACCATATCTTGGAGGTGGAATTACAAAGTCATCATTTCCGGGGTTAAAAAAATCTGACAAATCAGAATCTGATTTCTGATCTGGGTCATTCAAAATGGAGGCAATTTGTTCAGCTGGATCCTCATATGTTTGTTTAGCTTCATTCACTTTTTCCACCTTACGCCATCTCAGTTAAAGTTGACGGATTTCACTGTTAATCTGAGCAATGATGGAATACATATCTGATGTACCTGCCAGCTTCATTTCAAGTGAACGTGGTCTTGGAATGGGTTGACCTACTTGTCTACACTCTGCAACAATTACACTCCTCGCATTTGTTAACTCCTCATACTTAATAAGCTGTTTCGGTTGCCATTCAGCTTGAGACACCTGTGGAATTGGACGGACTGCATCAGGTTGAATATTTTGTACTACTTCAGCATCAACAACATCTGCATGACTAGTATAAGGATAATACTTCGCATTATGATACCATCGTGTCTGTGCCTTCGCATCTGCCAACTTCCTGAATATACCCACATTCCGGCCCTTGAAAACAACATAAAACCGACGTGCACCCATTACTTATACAGAATATGTGATGTGAATATAAGACGAAGGATATGGAGATGAAGAATCCCTGAATATTTAAACTTCAAGTTCAGCAATGGGTAAACATAACTTGTCTCTTTAATGTTCTTACCAAACCGTAATTGATTGTCCACACAACTACCAGTGTAGGTGGAAAGTAATTGTCCAAACAAACTATAGACTCTTTACAGTTCTTACCAACAACTTCACCAAACCGAATTATTTAAGGTGCAATAATAAATGCAATCTACTTAAATAAAGTATCAAAATATTTTCTAAGATCACATAGGAAGCAAAAGATTTAAGTTCATATATGTTCTTCAATAACATATTTGTAGCAAAAGAAATAACTGCATTAAATTTTTATGTCCATCAAAATGTTCTGTTCTGCCCATTTCCGACACTATTGTTGGTGACATGTCTGATTCATGTTTGCCATTGGCACAAGGGACATTGGGGCAACATTCGATTGACGTATACTTTTTACATCAACTCCCTTTTACTATCATGATTCACACAAAACAATACATCAGTTGTTTGCAATTTTAACAACAAATTTATTAAAAATTTGGGCCTTATGCATATAATATACAGTTACCAGTTTCAACGTGAATGGTTCTTCATAAGCTGATGGGGTCATTACTGGTTCACTTGCAAACAGGTTACTTAATGGAGTCATGGGTTCACCAAAATAAGCTGTACAGGGGCTATTATCATATTCCTGGGGTTGTGTTGAAGGTCCTGCCCTATCAAATTCTTCAGACATGAATATGTGTGATGGAATTTCAGCACCCTTCAAACAATCAAACCATCAACTCAAGTGTTATGATGTACGTATAGTTTCGGATATGTCAATCTTAGAAGAACACTCACATTGTGTAAAATATATGAAGGGGTGGTAATACCAGCACTGCAACCTACCACTTTGGCAACAACGCCACCATTGGAATTCTATATAACACAATATGAGGAGTTTGATGTTGAAAAATTGTATAATGACAACAGAGATAAAATGATAAACATAACAGAGTAAAACTACGCACATAAAGCTAAATACATACATGCTAAGGCTAAGGGTATGTACCTCTAAATTACGGTTGTCAGTCTTTTTCTTCTTTCTAGTGATTTTTTCCAACACAGATACGAACCTACACCAACGACCTCGAGAGACGCATAATCCTACCGGAGCCATTGGACCCATTAAAAAACGGTCATCTCAAGGAGAGGAAATTTCTCTAGTCTTGGAGTGGGCCCTGAAACCCGAGAGAAGACTTACTTAGCTGCCTTTTTAGCTTGTTGGTTATGTAGATTTGTCCTACCTGCTATACCTGCTGGCATGATTCGTCTTGGGGTGCTCAAGATTGCGAGCATGATGGCATATGGGAATGAGTTTTGTCTTTCTGTTCCCGTCTTAGCTAGCATTTATCGAGGTTTGAATGAGATTGTTAACTCTTCTGATCCCGGGAACACTACTATGGTATTCCTTGTTCACTATGTCTATGGGTGGTTGGGTGAATATTTTAAGACTCACTTTTGCCCCTTGAATGCTCCAACCACACCTCATATGGCTAAATATTCTGGGGAAGTATTAGCAAAAAACTTTGAGGAGTCCGAGGCACAATTTTTGATTAAATCATGTGAATACGTGGTTATGCATCATTTAGCCAAGGAAATAGCAGAAAGGAAAACCTTAGTTGATGATAATGATATTAGCATTCTGGATTTCGAGTATTTTGCTAGTCTCCGTTCTGGATATCTGACTTTGCGAAGGGGAGATCATCACATCAAAGAACCTTACAGTCCTCACAGATTTTGCAGACAGTTTAGATTTCACCAAGACCTTCCTGGAAAGTTAAAAAATGATGTGCGCACTGGTAGCACGGCAGATGTTATGCAACACTGGTTATCCTTCACTCGGTATAGGACTCGGTCTTCTATACTACTCCCGGAACGCACTAACCTCCAGCATCTTTCAGTTACCAAGGAGTACGCTACTTGGTGGTTTAAGGTACATGTAGATTCCTACATTGGTAAGGCCAATAATTCCAGACAGAATAAGCGTCGTGCATCTCCAAAAAGGAAGCCGAGCAAGTGCAGAAGGAACACAACTGAGGAACACGTATTAGATATATCTGATAAGCATCATTTAGCAGGAGCTTCTGCGTCTCTCCATAGTAGAAATGACCTCCCTGACATATGACACCATCCTCGAACCAAGGTAAGCCGAAACGTGGGGAGGGTAGAAGATGATGATCGCAACTGGAAACATGCAGTACGTGAGGGTGAACACTCTTCTTCCGCAGAGAACCCCTTTCCAAATATGATGAATTTCTTTGATGGCGTCCCTAGTACTTCAATGCCAATTCAGGTTGAAAATCAACAAGACATAACCGTTGTAGCTCAATGAGAAGTTCTTCTCTTTTTATTTTATTTTATTATTTATCCTCATCTTATTTTCTCATTTGCAAAAGGTGGAAGGCAATGACGAAGTGATGCAAAAGGAAGCTGCTTTCGCAGTAAGATATTTTGTTGGTGACGAATCCGTTCTGGGTCCTTCTGCTTTAGACTTAGCAGTCAGAAAGGGGAATGATCAGATCAATTTAGATGTAGACAATCATCATTGCCAAGACAAAGGATCTCAGCGGAGGAGCTTTCTCTCCCAAGCCTTGTTAGTTAAGCAGGAGGGTCATAGCCAATCACCATTGAATGCTGCTACAAATAAAGATGAGGCACCTGTAACTGTTATTGGATCATTGGCCAAAAAGCAACACTTTATGTGTGCTCAAGCATCATGCCAAGCTGCGTGCTCTGAAGCAATTACTTTTGACGTGGATGGTATGCTCTCTGAAGCCAGACGTACGGCTGCCTTATCGTTGGGGAACAACCTCAAGAAAATGATAGAAATGACTCCATTCTCGAAGATTTCATTACTTGCGCCAAAACTTGATCAGGTTTTCAATGCATTATCTGCACAATTTGTGGACTCATCTTAGCTTCGAAAAAGGATTGATGCATACCTTCAGAGTGTTACAGAATATAATAAAGTTCGGTCTAAGTATGCTGATGCTCTAACTGAGGGTGCACGCGTTCAACAACTATCCCATATTGATTCCCGCCTTAGTGAGGTCCTCGCCTCGGATGAAGAGGATGCAAGACAGGCTCAATCACTCCAACGAGATCTCACAAATGATGAAAATGAGATTAAACGTTTGCAGACTCGGGTTGAGGCAACCAGAACTTCAATTGAAGAGATTAACTTGCGAATACTTCAGAGGAAAAATGCCATCATGAACCTTAGAGGCGAACGAAATGCACTTGAAGAAGCCCATATTATGACGGATGCTGATATTAGGGTTGTAAGTACCTTGGAGAAGTTGGAGAATGAGCAACAAGAGATGCAAAACCTTCATTAGTTACCTTGATATCAATTTATTTATTTATTTTTTTTTATTGTTCTCCTTTGTTTCTCTATGTATTTGAGTAAACTCTTACTCATTTTCATTTTGATTAATAAAAGCATCAAGAGTTTTATTCCGTCATTCACAGTTTAAACTCTTACGGGCCAGGAGTAATACAAAGATTTTTTTTTTTAGATAGATGACTGAACTTGGAACAAACCTCCAAGCTGCATACGTACCCTTACAGGGATCAAGTCAATGACGTAGTTCGGTAGGAAATAATTGAATTTTTTTTTATTTTTTTATTTTTTTTCGCGCCGTACACAGTTTTAGCTTATGCGGGCCAGGAATAGCTATCCTTCTTATGGATAATATCGCTTCAAGAACTTGGCGTTGATTGGACCAACCCTTACGCCATCTTCATCGATGATCTTGTAGGCGCCATTGGGGTAGACTTCTTGCACCACATACGGTCCATCCCACTTAGAGTTGAATTTCTTATCCATTCGACAGGGCATGATTATGGGTCTTCGTACAGTGAGTATTAGGTCACCAACTTGAAAAGATCGAGGACAGACCTTCTTGTTGAAGGCGCTTGAGAGCTGAGCTTGATAACACTCTAATCGTTGTTGAGCTTCAAGTCTTCTTTCATCTAATGCCTACAACTCTTGAAGACGAAGTTGTGCATTCTCTTCATTTGTTAGCCCCTTTTGGATAGCAATCCTTAATGAAGGGATCTGTTGCTCGAGCGGTAGAACCGCTTCAATACCATATACAAGCGAATAAGGCGTTGCTTGAGTGGGGGTACGATATGTTGTTCGGTATGCCCACAGAGCTTCCCCAATTCTTTCATGCTAGTCCTTTTTAGACTTGGAGACTACTTTCTTCAACAGATTGCAAAGAGTCTTATTAAAAGCTTCCGCCAGTCCATTTGCTGGCGCATTGTACATAAAAGACTTGTGTTGTTTAAAACCAAACTTTTCACATAAGTCACTCATCAACTTGTTTTTGAAAGGTAACCCATTATCAGTGATAATGTGATGGGGCACGCCATATCGAAAGATGATATTAGTTTTAATGAAGTCCACCACAGTTTCTTTATTTGTTGCTTGATCAGGATTGCCTCGACCCATTTCGAGAAGTAATATGTCACAACAAGGATATATATATGACCCTTAGAAGATTTCAAAAAGGGTCCGACCACGTCTAATTCCCATGCATCAAATGGCCAAGATGCAACCGTAGGATGTAAGATTTCAGGTGGTTGGTGGATGAAATTGGCATGGAATTGACAAGCCTGACACCTTTTTACGTAATCCATGCAATCTTTAACCATAGTTGGCCAGTAGTATCCTATTCTTTTTACTCGGAAGTGGAGCTTAGGACCTGACTGTTGAGCCCCGCAGACCCCCGAGTGTGCTTCCACCATTGCTTAAGTTACTTCATCTTCTCCGAGACAACGAAGAAAAAGACCTTCATATGAGCGCCGAAACAATGTATCTTTGTAAAAGATAAATCGAGGTGTTCTTCGGTGTACCTCGGTTCTATGTCGAGGATCTACAGGAAGCTTCCCGTGTTCCAAGTAGTCTATGATGGGTCGTCTCCAGTCTTTAGTTTCTATGATCCGAACAGAGATTTCATTTGTTTCTTCCAACTGGCCCTCAAGCAACTGCGGCAATACCCACTGTTGGCATACTGGAACGGTAATTGCCTCAGCTTCTCCCAATGCTATTGTTGTGGCTAAGTTAGCTAAAGCATCTGCTAAGTGATTTTCTTCCCTTAGGACATGTTCTAAGACCACGTTGTCAAATCTACTGAGTAGATTGGAAGCGTACTGAAAACATAGAATCAAGTTATCCTTCTTGATTTCATATTCGTTACTAACTTGGAGTCACCATAAACTTCAATGTTTGAAATCTTCATTTCATTTGCCATTTGGAGACCAATTATCAAGGCTTGATACTCCGCCATATTATTTGAGCATTTTTCAAGAAACGAAAAAGCATATGGCAAAATTTGTCTTTGTGGAGAAACGAACACCACGTCTGCCCCTACTCCTTCGGACCATGCTGCACCATCAAAAAATATTATCCATGGTAGAAGGACATCAACAAAGAACACCTCCTCGTCAGGAAAGTCTTCAGAAATTCCCAATCAGCTGGTATTGGATGATCAGCTAAGAAATCAACGAGGGCTTGCCCTTTGACTGCTTTTCGCGGGACGTACAAGATTTCAAATTTGTTGAACAAGATTGACCATTTTGCCAGTTGCTCAGAAAGAACAGGTCTTGACATGACATACTTGGGGGGGGGGGGGGGGGGGGGGGTTGCAATCACGTGTACGGTGTGAGCTAAAAAATAATGTCTCAATTTCTGGGAAGCAAATACTAGAGCGAGACAAGTCTTCTCAATTGAAGGATATTTAAGCTCTGTTGCAGTCAGCCTCTGACTCAAATAGTATAAAGCCTCTTCTTTATTCTCTTCATTATTTTGTGTGAGGAGAGCCCAAAACGATTCCTCTTGAGCAGCAATGTATAATATAAGCAGTTTTCTAGGTGTGTGAGCTCCTAACACCGGGGCATTAAGCAAGTATTTCTTGATGTTGTCTAAAGCATTCAGACAAGCTTGGTCCCATGTGAAAGGGGCATCTTTCTTCATGAGTCGGCTAAATGGCTGGCATTACCCAGCCAAATTCGAAATAAACCGACGAATGAAAGCAAGTTGTCCTTGGAGGCTTCGCAATTTACGTAGGTTTTTGGGTGGTGGCATTTTCTGTATGGCATTAATCTTGGATGGGTCGACTTCAATGCCACGATATCGAACAATGTACCCAAGGAACTTTCTCGATGTGACACCAAATGCGCATTTGAGAGGATTAATTTTAAGTTGGAACTTCCTTAATCGATTGAAAACTGTGCGAAGATCTTGAAGGTGAGTTATTCTTTCTTTGCTTTTGATGACTAAGTCATCCACATAACATTCTACATTTTTATGCAACATATCATCAAAGATCTTTTGCATTGCCCGTTGATAGGTAGCACCAGCATTCTTAAGTCCGAATGGCATCACCTTATAGCAATATATCCCCTTTGGAGTACGAAAAACAGTTAACTCTTCGTCTTTGGGAGACATTCTTATTTGGTTATAGCTGGAGAAACAATCCATAAAAGAAAGAGCCTTATGTCCCATTGTTGCGTCTACCGTGAGTTCAGCAACAGGTAGAGGGAAGTCGTCTTTTGGACATGCAGAATTCAAGTCACGAAAGTCCACATAGACTCGTATTTGCCCATTTTTCTTCTTGACTTGGACAATACTTGAAATCCACGTCGGGTATTTAACCTCTCGAATGAAACCTGCATCAATGAGTTTGTTGACTTCTTCCTCAATCTTTGGGATAAGCTCTGGCCTGAAAAAGGGTTGGGATTGCTTAATTGGACGTGCACCATGCTTAACTGCTAGGTTGTGGACTGCGACCTTAGGTTCGAGACCTGGCATTTCTTTGTATGTCCAAGCAAATATATCTCTATACTTGGATAACAACTCAACATAACCTTTCTCCTCTAGGGGGTTTAAGAGTGCACTGATGAAGATTGGTTTAAGTTCTTCGACTGATCCTAAGTTAGTCTCCTTGAGTTGGTCAATGGTAGCTTGCCCCCCGTCTTCAAGTGTTGGAGGCGCTTCCTTGAAGTCTTCTCCATGAAAATTTGATTCTGAGTCATCTTCCTCCATTGTGATATGGAAAGAAGTAGCATAAGTCATTTCTTCTTCATCTATCCCTTCATCTTCTTGCTCCAAAGGCTCCGTGCATATGATGGTTCATCTTTTAACCACTGACACTTTATCAGCATTCACCTCGAGCCCCACTTTTTGCTTTATTCGAGAAGGAATTAGGCTTCGAACGCCATTATTTTTTTCTGTCTTGAGTTGAACTTTCTCATATTTTATTGTGTTTTGTTTATCTTTAGATATGGAATTGATGGCCTCAAACCGGGAAAAGACAGACCTTCGTGACTGAGAACTTGACACTTCTTTATTCTGAGCACTGACATCTAACCTGTTGAACAAAGAAAAACAAGGTGTATGGTTGCCGGGAAGAGATGATCTATTCATCTGGCCTGTCATATTCAACCTCTCAAACATAGAATTATTAGGTACTGGAGCTTCAATTCGATCGAACACTGAGGTTCGTGAAATAGGCTGTTGATCCTCATTCTCTTCATTTTCCTTAACACTAATGTATTGTGTACTTGCTTTCTTATCACTTCTTCCCATGGGGACTCAGATAAGCTTGCCTTGCGTGAAACCTAAACCAGTTTTAGGTGGACTGATCCTATGTCCTTGATCTCGCAGCTTCTTTTGCGTCTCATTAAGGCCATGCACTTTCTCGCCACTGAGTTCGGTGCTGAGTTGCCCAAGTTCCGCAGGATTTTCAAAATCATACCCTGCATTGGCCAGGAACTTGTATGCATTTGGATCGAATCTTTCTATTGTCCTTTAATGAGGAAGCAAACTTTGTTTTGTTGAATCGTGAGATCCAAAGACGAACCCTTTTAGTGGCGGTTTAGCAATTTTGGACTTCTCAATCTTCACAATAGGAATTGTTGAGTCTTCTCTAAGCACTTGTGAATCTTCTCTCATTGAAGAGGGGATAGGCTTTGTCATTGTTTCCTTCATCTCAACAATCTCAACAAAAGGTGATTGTCCTTCCTTCCTTCTAGATTTTGGCACATACTTGAAGACAGACTTGTTCTTAAAGACATTCGAAGATGATCCAGACTCTTGTGTAGAAGTCAAGACTTTCTTATGTGTGATGCATTCCATGGGAGTGAGTTTGACTTCTTTCCCCTTTCTCGATTCTACTTTGCCCATTGAAGGGATATCCATTGGGAGAACCTCCATTGGTGTATTAAAGTCGGAGTAAAATTTAGCATCTGCAAAATGCGAGTCCGCCTCAGCAAATGGTTTATCATCTGCAAATACAGTTTTTATGCCATTCCTATAAAACTTGAAGCATTGATGCATGGTAGATAGAACCACACCATTTCCATGGACCTAAGGTCGCCCTAACAATAAGTTGTAGGAGGTCTTCGCATCGATAACATGGAATATAGTCTCAGCATTTAACTCTTTAATGGTGAGATGGACTCTAATCATGCCAATTGCTCTTTGTCCTCCTTGGTTAAAGCCTTGGATGACTAAGCAGCTACAATCCAATTCATCGATTGTGATGCCAAGGTTCTTCATCGTGGATTTTAGCATGATGTTCACTGTAGAACCTCCATCAATGAGGATATACAACTTTTGTTCCCGGATGTATTCGGAAACGAAAAGCGGATGGTTGTGTGGCTTTGAGCCTAACTGCAAGTCCTTGTCGATGAAGGTGATTGCCGGAGAACATGAAGCACAAGTCATTATAGGGATTTACTCTTCATCATCTTCCATACCAGTGTAGTTGCCTGGATCTTCTAGAACTGGGATTTTTTCATCAGTTTGTTCAGTCGGCTCATCAACTTCAGCGATGGACACTATGTAAACAGCTTGAACTTGATCATTATTGAAATATCCAGTGGGGAAGAAATCTTCTAATGTGACGGGCTTGCGAGGGCCATTGTTGGAGCATTTATCTGGTTGATCTTCTTCCACAATCACCTATTTTTCTTGAGTCATTCTTGTTGGGTGACGTTAAAGCGTTTCCTTTCCCTACCCCCTGTTGAAGTGGGTTTGTTGCTCCAAGGTGTTCCTTTGTTTGTGTGGCTTCTTTCTCGTCACAAGAGTCCATCTTTCTTTTACTTGTCCAGGCAACTCTATCTGAGGCATTTGGATAATTACAGGCTCCAATGAACCAAACTGAATGATTTGAGGGCATTCTAACTGCATAACTGGGGTTATTTGCCCAGAAAGTCTAGAATAAGTTGGACTGGGACATTCGAATGTGGTGGTGGTATGATTTGTCTCAGCCACTTCATCGCCTTCCAAAAGAAATTTTCCTTGTTTAGCCAAAGTCATTACTAACTCCTTGAATATAAAGCACTTCGCAATCGGATGGCTAACAATACGGTGGTACTTGCATTATTTTGGGTCATTCACTCGCCCCATCTCTTTAGGGTGTTTGCATTCTGGGGGTTCAATTATTTTCTTTTCAAGTAGAAATTCTAGTATTCCTAGCACATCAGAGTCCGGGAATGGGTACTCTTTCTTCTCCAACTCTTTGAGGGTCAAGCGCAGCTTCTCCCGCCAGAGCTTATCTTTCTCTTGGAATTTGTTTTCCTTATCACTTCCTTTATTCTTCTCCTTCATGGAGATCTTCAATGGTACCGCCGTGATGGTCATAGTCTCTTTGTTGCCTTTCTTTGTCGGCTTATTGTCTTTCCTTACTTCTTTCTTATCTTTGTGTTGTTCCAAGGTAGAAGGATTGTTTCCACCATGAGTATTGATGCCGATCTCCATGTCATGGGCACGTGTGGCCAACTCTTCAAAGGTACGAGGTTTGATGCCTTGAAGAATATAGAGAAGTCCCCAATGCATACCTTGCATGCACATCTCAACAGCAGAAATTTCTGAGAGTTGGTCCTTGCAGTCTAGGCTAAGTGCACACCACCTATTGATGTAGTCTATAACAGGTTCGTCCTTTCACTGCCTGGTGTTGGTAAGTTATATTATGCTCACGGTACAACGGGTACTGTAAAAGCGATTTAAGAATTCACGCTCCATCTGGTCCAAGCCATCTATCGACTCAGCCTCTAAGTCAGTATAACAATCAAAGGCACTTCCCTTAAGGGAACGAACGAATTGTTTCACCAAAAGATCACCATCAGTTCCAGCGTTGTTACAAGTTTCAACAAAATAAGCGATGTGTTGCCTAGGATTGCCCTTTCCATCAAACTGTTGTAACTTGAGAGGTTGGTATCTGATTAGCATTCTTATGTTGTCGATTCGCTTTATATAAGGTTTCAAATACATGAGAGAACTGTGAGTTGCCCCGCCATATTGTGATCTGATCGTGTTACTGATCATGTCTTGAAGTTGTTGGACAGACAACGAAGCGATGGAGGGAGCAAAGTTGGTTTGGTTTGCCCCCTGTTCGGATGTGGTTGCTTGGTGAGTCTTGTTCGCCATGGTTGCTTGGTAAGTCTTGTTCGCCATGGTTGCTTGTGGCGTGAAACTAGGAGGGTGTGTGGGTCCTTGACTTGACTCGGCGGACTTTTGTACGTCAAGCTTATTCATTAATGAAGCAATCTACAAGTCTTTGTCTTCCACAGTCTTGGTGAGTTTCTCAATAGCACGGGCTATAGTCACCAGTTGTTCCTCTATCGATGCTGTGTTGGCTATCATGACTTGCATGTAAGTTGAATGTGAAGGAGTCAGAGAATCAACATACCTTGGTGAAGTCAGACCCCTTAAAGATACCGGGTACGAGGCTGAGTGTGAGTCTGTGCTTCAGTCGGAATCCGGAATGGATCGAGATAAATGCGGTGACATACTTCTCGGAGAGAAGTCTTCTATACCAGCGATGTCCTCAGGGCTTGTGGGGTTGATCTTCATGGCTCTCAATGATTCAAGGGTGATGAACGGCTGAGCCTTTGCATTCGCAGGCTTAGTGGAGTTGACACGCACTGTGCTTGGCTTCTGCGCCAAAGAAGTGGCCTTTGCTTTGCTGCGGGTCATTGGTCCCGTGGAGGTGCTGCTATCACTTGATGGAGCGGCAGTGTTCTTGGAGGCCTTCGAGGTGAGAGCCTTGTTGGCCGTTGCAACCGCGACATTCTTACCAGCATTCTTCGAGCCATGAGCGATTTGAATCTTCTTGGAGGCCATTGAAGCGAGAAATAGAAGGTGTTGACAAAGTGATTGAGGAGATGGAGATGAGAGGCAGAGAGGTCCCACCGGGCGTGCCAAAAATTTGTACACACAAATTTTGATTCCGAAAATTCAGAAACAAAAATAAATGTGATGAACAATAATTTTATTAAATAATAAATGAGTACAATTCTCTGTTTGGCGATTCTATTACAGCTAGAATCTTCTTCTGATTGAATCTCCTTGGAACGTTGGCGCAAGGGCTTCGGAAGCTTAATTTTGGGCTAGTTGTTGAATTGTATTTGAGTTCTTCAAAATTGAAAAAAACTCAAATGAATTTCTGAACTAGGGCTGATAAGGCTTAATCTCGAACGGTGGATTTGATAGTCTTTGATGAAGAACGGCGTATGTGTGGCATGCTTGCTGTTCTTCTTCTTCAGAAACAGAGTAGTGTTGTTCTTCTTCAGAAATTTCAGAGTCTTTATTGAGTCAAAGCTTCGGCAGAGCTTCGATGTTCTGTTTGTCTCTTTCTCTGTGTGTGTTCTCAAAATTTGAGGGCTGGCCTTGTATTTATGGGCCAAAGGGTGGGTTGTTCAATTTAGAAACTCCCCAATATTGTGCGATTTTTCCATAAATAAAGGATTTATTTCCTTTTATATGGAAATCAATTCAAATTCAAATTCAAATTTGAATTATATTTGAATTCGGCATTTTCTTTAAAGGTCTGCACCTTTAGGATTTTGACACGTGTCCATTGATGGAACCCGTATTTGTGAAATTTAATTAATCAAGAAATATTTGACTTCTTGACTAATTAGACGGTGATTAAACCATCACAAATTTTAGGCGTCTACAGAATCAAAAAAAGATTTCTGCCATAGAAGAAGAAGGAGGAGGAGAAGGAGAGAAAAAAAAATAAAAATAAAAATAAGAGAGAGAAGAGAAGAAGAATAGAGAAGTTGTAGATGTCACTAAGTTGTAGATGTCAAGATTATGACTGTTTCTCATAGATGTTGACTGGTTCAATAACTGGTCGACATGTTTCCTTCAAGTGTCGACCAAACCGGTCGACCGAAATGAGATATTCTTTTTAATAGATGAAAAAAATCAATTGATAAACAATATAGCACTACTTGAACAAGTAAAATAAGTCGAAAGAATTCACCTTTTTTTTTTCTCTTTTTTTTCGATTCCACTCATTTCACTTGGTCTTTTTGTTTCTATTCCAAAATTTAAACCTGCATCATTAAAATTGAGGCACATAACATATTAGAAACTTGATGTTGAAATGTGAATATTTTATTTCATATTTATGCTAGACTAAAATAAGAACAGTAATATACTACTACATAAACAAGATACAAGATACACACAGAAATGTTGTACCAAGATTTAGGTCAGAAATTTAATTTCAAAGATGCAGATAATACAAGATTCATAGATTTGTAACAAAAAATAATAAATAAAACCGACTTATACATACATACCTTTGTCGTCGCATGGTCTGATTTCACTCCAAATCCAGACCATCTTCTTAACAGAATCTCACTGCTTTCTTTGGTTTGCTGGTGAATGGTGAGAGAGATAGAGAGAGGAAGAGTTATGGGGCGCTCAAATGAGAGAAGGCTCAGATCTGGTTTTTAGACTAAAGGGTCATCGGAAAACCACTTGTTGGAGACTAAAAGGAGGATTCAAGGCGGTATTGACTGAGACCTCTTTTGTGAAAAGAACTTGAGAAGAATAATGAGATAAGAATGAGAGAGAAAGAAACGTACGAGGAAAAAGAGGAGATAGAATCAAAGATGGGGGGAGAGAGAGAGGGGGTGGGAAGAAGGGAAAGGGAAGAGATTGGATGAAGATGTGGCAGACGATTACTCAAGCTACTGTGGCAGACGATTTGATTCTAGAAACCCCTAATATTCTGGTGAGTTCTGGGCTTGAAGCAAGATGGGGGGGGGGGAAGGGAGGAGATGGATGACGATGTGGGAGGGAGGAGTTATATTGACCGGTCAAAGAAACATGTACAAAATATCATCAATATAAGCTCGATTTGAATGAGTGTTTCAAACCGAATCGTACGGTTCTTATACTGCAATGACAGTGAAGACAGCTGTTTGGAATCGTTGGATTAGGTGAAATAGTTGACCACCCCAATTCATCTGTTGGATCACTGTCACACGATCACTAAAGAGAGAAATGGAGTAGCTAGCTTCTGCCTTCTCTTCTCTGGTTCTCTTTGAAGCTTTTTCTCTCTCCTCTCTGCAAAGTCGGCTTTTTCTCTCTCTACAGTTCTACATCGTCTATCTCTATTGACACTTCAAAATTATGATTTCTTGACAAAAACAAAAAAAAACTCTTACGCTCTCGCACTCGCTTTATGCGCATAGTGCCTACCTACTAATAAATTCTTAAATATGCAGCACGCACCGCACTCCACTACAGTATCGCACCATAGCCTTAGATTCTTCTAAGTTGATTTGAATGAAAAGAATCGAAAGATCTTTATCTGATCCATGATGGATGTTAACAACTAGAAGTTTTTTTTTTTTTTGAATGGTAGTTAACAACTAAAAGTTGGTTCCAAATATATTCAGCCTCAATAGATTCAACCAACTGTTTCCTCGCAGCAATTGCCTTCTTCAACAAATGAAACCAACTAACCACTCTATGTCCAAAATCATGAATCAAGGTAGAATGCCCTTCCACCAAGGATTCAAGAACAATTTTACTGAATGACCCATCCCCTGTTTTAAACAGGAAATTGGGTATTTCAATTTTTATTAAACAATGGATGGTTCATAGTAAAGATAAACCTCTATTTGTAATGATTTTTTTCTTCTCTCCCTCTCTTTTTATTTTTTTATTTTTTATTTTTTATCATTTGGAAAAAGAATTAAAAAACTTGACATGGAATTTGAACCTTTAAGACCAAAGCCACCAAGGCACAGGTAGTCCAGTAAAAGTAGATTTTATTGTACTTCATAAAAATTACTAATATTGCCTGAGACAATCAACCAAAACACCAAATGAGGGTAAATTCAGCTTTCCCAATTGAGGATAACTCATTATTTCATGAATTTTTTTTGACATCCACTTATTACACAAGATCTGCCAGTCCTCGTAAGATACTTCAGGATGTGTGTTGCGGCGTGCACTTTCTTCTATTTCGAATTGATTAAAATGTTCTTTCAACGGTACCTATACTTTATATGAGCAACGACTAATGAGTTATCTGCGCATTCCTTAGCTTTTGAATTGTTTTCGCAATCAACTCCGAATTCTTCCTATAGTTTTTCACATGAATAAGCCATAAATAAATCCAAGACTGATGATGAATTCAAAACTTATCCATGTAACTGGTTCAACAAAAACAAAATCAATTATGGATACAATAGAATTGATGCATGTTGAATATATATGTGTATGTATAACTCTTTCAATTTCCTTATCCATGGTCCTATCCCATTAAATAGAAACATAAAATAATGTATTAAAATAGATGCAATTGTGTGGAAATACATTTATTTTTAACACATTATTTTGTATTTCAATTTCTGTCGAAATGTGTTATAAACATATATATGTAAGGAACATATTTATTTTGAACACATTATGTACAACTATGTTCAGGACAAAAAAATGTTATAGCCTCCCAAACAACCAGAAAATGAAGGAACATTATAATTATTATTTTTCCTAAAGATGATATCTACCTAGATTAAATTCAAACATATTTATAAGAGAACCTTTCATTTAAACAAACTAAATTGAAGAAAACAATGAAGCTTAAAAATAGCATCAATCAAAACATGAACAAACAGATCCGTATAAAATACAAAATAGAATCATATAGTTCTGTCCACATATTCAACTATATATCACAATGTTAAGACGAAGCCAAAACCTAAGAGATCAAAAACAAAAGCCCCATTTCCTAATACTTCATTATCTAGATGTGAACTAATTTCTAACGAAAAATCACTAAATCTGAACCAAAAGGACGATAAAACAACACTATTTAGTTCAAATCCAAAGCCAAACAAAACCACACATATAGAAACAAAAAAAAAAAAAAAAAAAAAAGTAGACTTAAAATCTAATCAAAACACATGGAGACAAATTTACTGAAACAAATAGAACAGGGAAATTAAGAAATCACAAGATCACCTAGTTTACATCCCATGTGGGACAGAACACATCTACGCAACATAAAAACTGGTGTCTTTGGGTTTGCTTTTTTACTTCTAAATTTTGGTATGAATTTTGATCAATATACTCTTAGTCTTGTATAAAAGTAAAATTTGGGAATTGAGCAAAGATGATCTATTTACCCGCTCTAGGTCAATTTCATATTGGAGAATCCAATTATGTATAAAGCCTTGAAACTTTGAATAGTTGAAAGAATTAACATGACTACAACTGTGTCCAGAAAAAATAATAATAATAATAAATAAATAAATAATTGCTATAGCCTCCCAAACAACCAGAAAATGAAGGAATATAATAATTATTATTTTTCCTAAAGATAATTTTTTCCCAGATTTAATTCAAACAAGTTTTTTTTTTTTTGGCAACACCTGAACAGATCTGTATAGAATGCAAAACATAATCATAGAGTTCTGTCCACAACTTCAACTATATATCACAATGTTAGACGAAGCCAAAACTTAAGAGATCAAAAACAAAAGTCCCATTTCCTAATACTTCATTATCTAGATGTGAACTAATACAAATACTCACACACACACACATATATATATAAGGCCATAAAAAACATATGTATTAAATCTATTGAACTGGTTTCCTTTACTTTTTGAACAAAGCACATTGAATTAAATATAAAAATACTCTACAAATTACACCATACACACAAAACAATAAATAGAGAGATAACTTTAGCCTCACCAAGTGAAAAAGCAAATATACAAATCTAAGAAGCAACGGAAAAAAAAAATTTAAATATAAAAAATAAAAAACACTTACAACACCAGTAGAAGAGTAAGTAGTGACAGTAAACTTCTAGTCGCTCTGGTAGTCCTTGTAGAGAAGATCTGCGGCACGAAACAAACAAGCAAATGATAGAAAACATTCCAAACTATCAATCCAATCAACTAGGACAAATGAATGGGATATTCCAAAAATATAAAGGGCGGGCACTTTACATGTTCAACTAAACATTTTGAGTTAGTGCAAAATTTACAAATCCATTGAATTGACAACATTTTTGGCTGCTCAAGTGGATTAATAATGCTGGGGATTAGAGATTTTCTTAAATACACAGTACACAAGTGTTGCATTCTATAAGAATTGGTTACCAAAAAATTGTTAAAATAACTCAGTAATCTTTTGAAAAATAAAGCTTGAATTTGGTATTTTTAAAACTGCAAAATTAGCAATACAAAATAATAGGGATCATCGAGTCACTTGTTGAATTTAAAGTATTATTGGAAAAAAAATCCCCAAGAAACAATTTAGTCACTAATAACAATTTAATAAATAGCTAGTAAGTCAAGCATAATTAGGGAAAAAGTCCCAGATATTGGATCAATTTAGGGTGACCTGGGAGGCACTCTCCTAGTTGGTGTGACTTTCAGCATCACTCTAACCAATTCGTGCACACCAAGACGGGGCGTGACACATTCTCCTTGTCAGATATATATATATATATATATATATATATATATATATATATATATATTATATAATACTAACTAAAAAATGAAAGAAGAAGAAGAAAACAGACAAACAAACAAAACAAAACCCTCTCTTAAACATCTTGTGAAGCTAGAACCAAGTCTGCAGAATTGGAAAAGGCAGAGTGATGGATTAAGCTGTTATAGCGGAACCAGGAGGGGCTTGGCTTGGTTGGGGTACCCCCCCCCCCCCCCCCCCCCCTCCCAAATTGACAATTCCTGGATTTACCCTTGAAGCTGTACAATCTCAAAATAACATTTGTCCTTGGACACATACTGTGCACGTCTTCTTATCTACATGATACACTCTAGTTATCAATTTTTTTTTTTTTTTAGTTGTTTTGTCGGCTCTAGTTATCAATTAATTAGCTTTACAGCTAACTTGCACTCCACTTGTGGATAAGAAGATCAATGGGATATAAAGTCTTGCTCATACATTCTGTTTTCTTGCCCAATAAAACTTTTTTAAAATTTAGTTCCAAAAGAAGATGGATACAACTCACGCCAATAATTTATAATAATATTAAATTTAATTTTTTCCAAAAAAAAAAAAAAAAAAAAAAAAAAAAAAAAAAAAAAACGTTAAAACCCATCAGTATCATTTAGGTTAATGCAAAATTAGAACATTTCCAGAGCCATAAGAAGAATATTCAAAAATGAAAAAGCAAGGTTTGTGAGAAGATGACGGACTTGTTGCAGGGAGTGTCTAGAGTGGGAAAGTGGGTGAGATCAGAATACAAAGAAGGAAGAAGAAGCTTTGTCCACCATTGATGGACTAACTTTGCTGCCTCTCAATTGAATTGAATTAGATGTTCACCCAATTAGACAAAGAAGAAGCCAATAAACTGCAAATTATATACTACTAAGATCAATCAACAAAACCCACAAAAAAAGAACTTTCCAGCAAGAAAATTAAACTGATGAATGTCAAGAAAGACAAACGTAAGTAGTGAACAATAAAGCAAAACTCAAGTTTTGTGCGTCTAAAGCATTCATGTTAATTATATGCATGTGTATATGTGTGTATATAGTGAATGTATAAGCAGTTGGGGTTCATTAATTGGGAAATAAGGGAATTGAGGAGTGAAAATTACCGGCGGTGGGATTGATGTTGAAGACGGCGGAGAGTGTTAGAGGACTCGTTGATAGGAGAGCAGAGGATTTTCATCTGCATTTTGTTACAACGAATCAGCTGTGCAATATGTTATTTGTTCAAAATTAAATAAAATATTCAGAAGTGTTAACATCAAGTATAGTCTTAATTTGATTGATGCAGGGTTTACATTTTGAAAAAAAAGCAAAATCACAAACTGAAACAAGTGGAATCGAAATTACAAGAAAGGTAAATTCTTTCAACTTATTCTTATTTTACTTGTAACCCTAGCGCTATATTGTTTATCAATTGAATTTTTCTTCAACTGATTTTTTTCTTATTTTACTTGTAACACTAGTGGTAAATTCTTTCAACAGATTATTTTTTTTATTTTTTATTTTGCATGGGTGCATTATGAAGTTATTTTATTTATTTTAGTTATTTTATTTTATTTTAATTTTTTGAAATCGAACTACTTAATACTCCACAAAAGATTTGGAGTAACCATGGGACCCTAAGCAAAAAAAAATTAGACACATTGTTTTAAATTAATATATACTGAATTTTTATTTTTGCATTCAGCACTATTATTTTTCATTTTGTTGGAGAACCATCTCAAGGGCGGTTCAACTTCATTCTCATCATTAACATTGCTGGTCCTTTGAGGTAAACAAAAAATTTTCACATTTTTTATCTATTAATTTATAGTTTTTGTCTTTATTTATTAGTCTTCTAAACAACAACAATAATATTTTGTTACAGCATCATCACCTTGGATTAATTTGTATGTGATCAAAAAGGGACCAATACTCCCTCTTTTTTCACAAACAGCAGTAAGTTGTTTGTTAACCTCATATATGATATAATTGCTTGTATATTTATATATCTTTAGCTACATATGTTTAGGCTTTAATTATAAGCTTAG